TTTTGTGTGTTTTAGAGGAACAAAATTACAATTATTACATACTAGTTTCCCTCTCCCTTTTATTATATACTACAGTAAAAATGAATGAAATGCTAGAGAAAAAAGGAAGGTGATGTAAGTTCTGGAAACTCAGTAAAGTTATAAAAACGGCAATATAATAAAGTGAATTTTCCTAATTGTTTTCAGGCAGACAGATCCACTAATGAGGCATCATTAGTGGATCAGAACTGCAAATGTGCTTAGAAGATGTAAAAAAGATGCTGAGACTCTAGAAAGAGTACAGAAAAGAGCAACAAAGATGATTAGGGGACAGGAGGCTAAAACATATAAGGAATGGTTGCTGGAATTGGGTATGTCTAGTTTAATGAAGAGAAGGACGAGGGGGGACATGATAGCTGGGTTCCAATATCTCAGGGGCTGCCACTAAGAAGAGGGAGTCAAGCTATTATCCAAAGCACCTGAAGGCAGGACCAGAAGCAATGGATGGAAACTAATCAAGGAGACTTAACTTGAAAGAATGGCAAAGAGATCTGAACCGCTTTATTTGGGAAGGCAAGAAAGCCAGAGTTAGATTTAAGATTATCCAAGACATTAGAGAACGTGGAGGACTTAAAGCTCCAAATTTGACACTATATTATGATTCTTGTGCATTAACATGGACGACGGATTGGATTAACTTGTCCAACAAAAGGATATTGAATGTTGAAGGATGGGACTTGTACTTTGGGTGGCATGCTTATCTTTTCATGCAGAAAAAGATAGATAAAACTTTTAGAAATCATATAATAAGGGCTGCTTTGTTAAGAGTTTGGCAAAAGTATTTTTTTAAGTTTGATGTTAAGCTTCCAATTTGGGTGATACCATCACATATTTTTCTGACTATACCTAGATGCGTGGTGATGGAGGCGCCTTCATATAAAGACTTGTTGTACCAGACTGGTAGTGGTAATTGGTGCCTAAAATCAATAGAAGTTTTGAAACAGAAAAACCCAGACTTTTCTTGGCTTGTGTATAGACAAATTCAAGATAGATGGCGAACTGATAAAAAGACTATTTTTTCTATGGAAGATGGGAATTTTTTGAAACAAGTAAGAGACGGTGCCAAAGGACACATTAGAAGGATATATAATGTTTTATTAGAATTGGATTCAGAAACTGAGCTAGTCAAAGATTGTATGATTAAATGGGCCCAAAATATAGGAGAAACAATATCTATGGATACTTGGGAGTTGATCTGGGTGAGAAATGTGAAGTTTACGCAAGCTCAAAATCTACGTGAGAATTTCTATAAAATGTTTTACAGATGGCACATGGATCCTGCAACTTTGTCTCGTATTTATGAGAATTATGAATCCAAGTGTTGGAGGTGTGGACAACAAGATGCAACTTTTTTTCATATGTGGTGGACTTGCAAGGTTATTAAGGCCTTTTGGATAAAATTGTGGTGGAACTTACAGCAAATTTTTAAAAGAAGAATTACTTTCTCGCCTCAGTTGTTTCTCCTAGGTATTACACAAAATTTGGA